AAAAAAATAATAAACAGGGGCCGGCACCATGGTGCACTGGGTTAATTCTCCGCCTGCAGCGCCGGCATCCCATATGGGCTCCGTTTCTGGTCCCGGTTGCTCCTCTTCCAGTCCGGCTCTCTGCTGTGGCCCTGGGAAGGCAGTGGAGGATGGCCCAAGTGCTTGGGCGCCTGCACCCGCATGGGAGACCAGGAGGAAGCACCTGGCTCCTGGCTTCTGATCTGCACAGCTCCGGCCATTGAGGCCACTTGGGGAGTAAAGACCTTTCTCCCTGTCTCTCTCTCACTGTCTGTAACTCTGCCTGTCAAATAAATAAATAAAATCTTAAATAATAATAATAATAAACTGTAAAGCAAAAAATGTGAAAAAAGTTAACAAAAATGTGTCTTCAGAGTAAGGAATTTTCACAAATTAATTAGGAACATGCAAATATAGAAAATATGCAAAGGATATGAATGGACAAATCACGGGAGAGACTATGATTTGTAAATATGTGTACAAAAGCTGCTCAGTCTCAGAAGTAATTAAGGAAATGAAAATGAGAACCAAAAAAAAATAGATAGTATCTTATAACCCACCAGATTAGTAAAACCCAATGTCTGTCAACAGCAAATGTTGCTAAGAATGTGAAGTGACAGGACCCACTCTGCTGGGCGGGAGTGTGAATTGTTAAAATACGGGCAGAAGAATGCCCCTACAGACGTCCACATCCTAATTCCTAGGCCCTGGGAACAAGTTATGTAATAGTGCATTTCAGATAGAATTAAGCTGGCTATATAAAATAGATCACCCTCGATTGTTTGGGTGGGCCCAGTCTACTCACAGGGGTCCTTAAAAGTGGAAGAAGGAGGCAGAAGACAGAATCGGAGGAAGAGATGTGACGACAAAGGCAGGATCAGAGATGCCGTGTGGCTGGCTTTGAGGGTGGAAGAAGGGGCCATGCCACAAATCAAGACAGTGCGTGCCTATAGGTATTGGCAAAAAACAAGGAAACGTATGCTCTCCCAGATTCTCCAGGACGACACCCAGCCCTGTGCACCCCTGGATTTTAGCCCAGGGAGACACTTGCCAGATTTCTGAACTACAGAAACATAAGGTAACAAGTTTGGGCTATTTTAGGCCACTATGTGAAAATTTCTTATGACAGCTATAGCAAACTAATGCAATCCTTTGCAGAGGAATTTTGGAACATCTAAAAACCCAATTTCAAGGGACATCCTCATTGCTTTGCTATTATGGGGTCCAGGGACCATCAGCATCATCTGAGAGCTTATTAGAAATTCAGATTCGAAAGCCCTACCCCCAAACTGAGGCAGCGTTTGTTTAACAGGATGTCACATGATTTCTTTGCACGTTAAACTCAGAAGTGCTTCCATAGGGAATATCTCCCACATATGTACAAACAGGTTTAAAATGCAGCACTATTGAAAAAGCATAGAGTGTATGAATAAGTTATTGAATAATTATACAATGGAATACCATACAGCTGTGATAATAAACAAAGGAGAGGTTTTGGATATAAAAGTTCAATAATGTTGAATAGAAAAAAATATGTCACGGGGCCGGTGCTGTGGCGCAGTGGGTTAAAGCCCTGGCCTGAAGCACCATCATGCCATATGGGCACCGGTTTTAGTCCCAGATGCTCCTCTTCCAGTCTAGCTCTCTGCTATGGCCTGGGATAGCAGTAGAAGATGGCTCAAGTCCTCAGCCCCTGCACCCACATGGGAGACCCAGAAGAAGCTCCTGGCTCCTGGCTTCGGATCGGCGCAGCTCCAGCTGTTGCGGCTATCTAGGGAGTGAACAAGCGGATGGAAGACCTCTCTCTGTGTCTCTACCTCTCTCTGCAACTCTGTCTTTCAAATAAGTAAAATAAATCTTTAAAAGAAAAGAAAAAATATGTCAGAAAAATATGTGCAGTGTGATACTAGCATATACGTTTCTTTAAAATGATTATTTATTTATTTGAGAGGCAGAATTATAGACAGAAAGAGGGAGAGACAGAGAGAGATGTCTTCCATCTGCTGGTACACTCCCCAGATGGCTGTTGCTGAGCTGATCTGAAGGCAGGAGTTAGGAGCCTCTTCCAGGTCTCCCATGTGGGTGCAGGGGCCCAACAATTTGGGTCATCTTCCGCTGCTTTCCCAGGCACGTAAGCAGGGAGCTGGCTTAGAAGTGAAGCAGCCATGACTCAAAATGGTACCCATATGGGATACTGGCACCACAGGTAGAGGCTTAACCTACTATGCCATAGCACCAGCAAGAGCATATGCTTTTAAAAAAATTATTTGAAAGGCAGAGTGACAAAGAGAGAAGGAGAAAAAGAAAGAGAAAGAAATTTTCTATCCACTGGTTCACTCTCCAAATGGCCACAAAAGTCAGGGCTGGGCCAGGCTGAAGCCAGGAGCTAGGAACTCCATCTACAACTCCCATGTAGGTGGCAGGAAATGCTTTCCCAGGCACACCAGCAGACAGCTGGATTGGAAACCAAGCAGCCGGGATTCAAACCAGCCCTGTGATAAGGGATGTTGGTGACAGTGACATAGGTGGTGGCTTAGGCTGCTGTTAAAATGCTGGCCTTCAAATACCTTTTAAAGCATGAGAAACAACACTATAGAATGTTATGTAATGAAGGATAATCACAGGAAGATGATGGAAGGAAAAGAAACGGATGGGGGCTGGCACTGTGGCACAGCAGGTTAACGCCCTGGCCTGAAAGCGCCGGCATCCCATATGGGTGCCAGTTCGAGTCCCAGCTGCTCTGCTTATGATCCAGCTCTCTGCTATGGCCTGGGAAAGCAGTAAAAGATGGCCCAAGTCCTTGGGCCCCTGCACCTGCGTGGGAGACCTGGAAGAAGCTCCTGGCTCCTGGTTTCCAATGGGTGTAGCTCCAGCCCTTTCGGTCATTTGGGGAATGAACCAGTGGATGGAAGACCCCTCTCTATCTCTCTCTCTCTCTCTCTCTCTGCCTCTTCCTCTCTGTAACTCTGCCTTTCAAATAAATAAATAAATCTTAAAAAAAAAAAAAAGAAAAAAGAAATGGATGTGAAAGGAAGCAATCAGTACACAAAATGAAGCTTCGACAAAGCCGTTTGGTGTTGGTGGGTACAAAAGTGTTCCTTGTGTCCTTACCTACATGGATCGAATGGCTTGAAATATTTCATAATCAAAACTTCCATTGTATTACTTCATGAATCGAATATACAGGATTTCTACACCTAGGAATTTTTCATCAGTTAGTAATACACCAGTGTCTTGTCTTAGATTCCAACTACAGTCTCACTTACCATGCTCTTTATTGGCTGATCAAAATGTCCACATGACTAGGTTTTTTTTTTGTTTTTTTTTTTTGTTTTTGTTTTTTGTTTTTTGTTTTTTTTGTTTTTTTGTTTTTTTGTTTTTTTTTTTTGACAGGCAGAGTGGACAGTGAGAGAGAGAGACAGAGAGAAAGGTCTTCCTTTGCCGTTGGTTCACCCTCCAATGGCCGCCGCGCTGATCCGATGGCAGGAGCCAGGTGCTTTTCCTGGTCTCCCATGGGGTGCAGGGCCCAAGCACTTGGGCCATCCTCCACTGCACTCCCTGGCCATAGCAGAGAGCTGGCCTGGGAGAGGGGCAACCAGGCAGAATCCGGCGCCCCGACTGGGACTAGAACCCGGTGTGCCGGCGCCGCAAGGCTGAGGATTAGCCTAGTGAGCCGCGGTGCCGACATGACTAGGTTCTGTAACTTAAAATATGTTCTGTACAAATTGAGTAATACATTAAAACGTGCTATTAATTAAGAAGAAGCTCTTAGAAAAAAAAAAAAGGAAACAGGATAAACTGTTGAAAACAAATACTGATAGAAACAACTTCCTCTTCTTAAGAAAACCTCAGCAGTTCCAGGGCAATAGGTTGTGCTTGGAGGACGTGAGACTAAGACGTGTTTGAAACTTAGTCTATGAACTGAGTGGAAAGAACTGTTCTTGTTAGTCACTGTCTCTCAAATACATTCGAGTTTATCCAGAGTCACCTGATCAGTGAGCTTAGAGGCTGATATTCTGACAATGCTGGCCTTCTTTCATTGAGCGTTTATATCTAAATACCCTTAATGCACAGTCATGCACCCACCATTTAACCAACGTCCACGTGTGTGTAACTCCTGCTTAATTGATTCTTTCTGTGTGCATCTTCCATTTACAAAGCCAAACTTAAAGCAAAAGTAGAGTCAAGAAAATCCTTGCTCAGGAAAACAACTCCTCTGAGACATTTAAGTACTTGAGAGGATTTTGAGAAAAAATCCATACCATAAAGTGATAAGCAGATGTTTCCCATATGTTGTTTGCAGATAAGTTGTGTCGCTTTTGTAATATATTTTTTCGTGAGGTTTGCCATTTTAAATCCAGTTGTCTATACATATCTTCAAGACAAATCACATGAGACAAACAAGCCAAGTCTAAACGTCCCTTGAAATAGTGCAGAAATTGGGGATTTGAATTTACATGGCCACTTTTTAAACTCTTCATAAAATAAGGCATAGTTTCCATATGTCTGTCGTCTAAATCCTGCCTCCACAGCTCAGGAATGTGCCTGCATTCCTCTGCGCTCTTTCTGTTTCAGTTTTATTTGGTTTCATGCTTATGGCACTGCTTAGTTTTCATTTCAACATCATCCAAATGTTGCTTCTCATCAGGAATTATTTATCAGAACCATTTCCTTCTCAAGGGTGTGGTCTGGTTACTGTCAAATGTTCCTCTATCCCCCGTGGTGTGTTACTCAGGAAAAATTTTCATTAAATTACAATGCTGATCGTATCATACAAGATTTCCTTTTATGGAATTAGTTTAAATCATAATTTGATGATATTTTAGAATAAGTTATTGTGTTATTTTTAGCAGAAGACTTGGCTATCAGCTTTTGCTAAGTAATATGTGAGTAAGTGCAAAAGTTATTGCAATGACAATAATGTTATTTCCATGACCTGTGGGCTGATAAAGCCATCATTCCCTCTATTGTTCCCTGCTCAGGTAATGCCATGCTGCTGAGGGTGTTGCCTGCGGTGTATGAAAAGCAACCTCAGCCCATTAACAGACACCTGCCAGAACTCCTGGCCTTGATGTCTCAGCTGGAACAACCGGAACAGTATCATCTACTACGGCTTTTGCATGTAGCAGCAAAGAGAAAACAATTGGAGGTAAAGATTCCATTTCATACACCATGGGCTACACGTTTCTGGGTCTGGGAGCTTCGTGTCTGCTTAGCATTTCCTCCCTCATACATCTGCACACTTCCATCCTCAAATGAAAGCACTCATTTCTCTGTGTGTGTGTGCGTGTGTGTGTGTGTGTGTATAGAATGAGGTTTTGGCTTATGCAATGATGGAGATGGAGAAGTCCCACAGTCTGTTGCTTGCCAACTGGAACCTCAGGAAATCTGGTAACGTAGTATGAGTTCAACACCAAAAGACCCTGATCTGGAAGACTAGTGGTCTGAGTTCCAGTCGCAGGCCTGGAGAAGGCTGAATCTCCCAGCTCATGCAATCAGGCAGAGATGAGTTCCCTCCTGCTCCAGCTTTTTGTTCTATTCAGGCCCTCAGTCAGTCGGATGACACCCACCCATGGTGAAGGGACAATTCCATTCAAATGCCAAGGCCATCTAGAAACATCCCCACAGACACACCCCAGAAATAACGTTTAACCAAATTTTCTGGGCATCCCAGACCCAGTCCAATTGACACACAAAATTAGCCATCACAGATCCTGTGATGAACAGTAACAAGTGTGCACACCTGTAGCCATTGCAAGGTTGCTTTACTGAAAGTTTAACTCGCCATGCAGTTCTTGGAGGACTTTCAGGCAAGGCAACGGGAAAGGCCTACACATGACATGATGTGTGAGCAAATTAGCCCATGTTGAGAGCAAAGCCTTGTTTTCTAGATAGTGAAGCTAATGTTATGGGGAAAATCACAGCTGCAGATGAGGCTTGAGCCAGGGGATCAAATAATGATGCTGGAACCATTCTTCTATCTCCATTTTTCAGATCTGATTTCTAGGTTTTGGCTTCCAGCTTCTGTGACTTTTGCCTTTATCATGTCGAGATAGGTGCTAGGGGCTGTCTGGGCACCAGGCTTCCCTTAAATCTGTCACTACCACCAGTATTCAAGCTGGCATCTTTTTTTTTTTTTTTTTTTTTTGACAGGCAGAGTGGACAGTGAGAGAGAGAGACAGAGAGAAAGGTCTTCCTTTGCGGTTGGTTCACCCTCCAATGGCCACCGCGGCTGGCGCGATGCGGCTGGCGCACTGCACTGATCCAATGGCAGGAGCCAGGTGCTTCTCCTGGTCTCCCATGGGGTGCAGGGCCCAAGCACTTGGGCCATCCTCCACTGCACTCCCTGGCCACAGCAGAGAGCTGGCCTGGAAGAGGGGCAACCGGGACAGAATCCGGCGCCCGGACCGGGACTAGAACCCAGTGTGCCGGTGCCGCAAGGCGGAGGATTAGCCTAGTGAGCCGCGGCACCGGCCAAGCTGGCATCTTGACGTTTTCTCTGTGGAGGACACACGCTCTACCCTGAGAGCCTCTTCTGAACTGGAGGACACCCAAGTGGAATTGGAGTCTGCTGGGAAGGGGGTGTACAAATGGATTCTGGATGACACCAAAATGTGTGTGCAGCAAATATGAATGGTCAAACCAAGCTTAAATCAATTATGATTGCTTCTATGCCCCATTTCTTTAGAATGTCAGTACCCTCCACTGGAAAAAACTAGTCAATACTAAGGTGAAGACACGAAAAATTGTATTCAGCATCCAAATTATTCAAAGAATAAGGAAGCACGGTCATCTTCTTGATTAGCCACAACAGATTGAAGTTCATTTGGCAAGGGACGATTTCTTTTCCTCTTTACCCAGGTTCCTTTGCCTGCCATTCAGTAGCACTCGGTAGATATTCATAGAACCAAATGGAATTCAACAGCATGGAAAATGTTTTACAAACAGTGAACACAGAGCAGAGAGTAATGAATTATGCTTTAGGAAAAAAAAAAAAAACAGGATGAAGTCCCACTCGGGGAGTGGCATCCAGGCCAGACCCAGACGAATGCACAGCTGGGTGCAAGTGTGGCAGGGTTGGAAGCTCTGGGCACTGGCGAGCTGGCTTCATTGGAAACTCCAGGATGTGAGACCAGGTAGACTGGCCAAAGCCTGAGCCTCGCTTCCAGATATTTTCTTTCAGTAGGTCTGGGGTAGGGCCCCCAGTTCCATCCTTTGTGCAAGTTCCCAGGTGTTGATGGTGCCGCTGCTCTAAGACTACACTTTGTGTGGCAACTGTAGAGTCTGGGCACAGGATGGGGGACCTCTCTGCATCCGAGTGTTTGCCCTGAGAGCAGTACACTGCCATTATTTTTCTGTGTGCCTCTCAGTGCTCTGAAACTCCTTAAGGAACACAGGACTTCTGTCTACATATTCACGTGTACTCCCTAGTATAGTGTTGGGCACATAGTGGGATTTCAGTAACAAAGTATTGAATTAAGAAATGAATAAGTAAACAAGAAACAAAAGAAAATAGAGACCATGAAGAACCAGGACCTTTGTGGTTTACAAAGTGCTAAAAGTGGCCGGACAGGGTCAAGGTCTAAAAGAACTGAAGGGGACTGGGGATGGGAGTTGACCTTGGATTTGGCCATTGGGACTTCCCAGTGACCCTTGAGGGGCAGTGTCTGGGGGTGGGAAATGGGTGGAAACAGTTGTCTATTGTGGATTGTATATGGAAGGGAAAGTTAGGAAATGATCCTATGAATGGGGACTGACAATTCAAGAAATTTAGGAGCAAACAAAGAGGGTTAAAGAACAGTAAGAATGAGGAGGTGGGAGATGCGAGGGTAAACATGAGATAGAACAAGCGCAGAGGAAATTACAGCACGTGCTCAGAGCATACATGGAACACTAAGGACAGGAAGGAGGAGCAAAGGTGCAGTGGAGTGGGGTGGAGAGTGCATTGGGGGATCACTGGCTTGCCCTGAAGGGCAGCTCGGTGAGGGCACACATGGGGTGTATGGATACGCTAGTAACATATTGCTGCCATGAGGAAGTACCACAAACAATGGTAAAACAACACAGATTTGTTATCTCAGTGCTCTGCAGGCCAGAAGGCCACAGTGGTCAGCAGGGCTGATGCCTCCTGGAGCCTCCAGGGCAGAACCTGTAGCCTGGCCTCCAGCAGAGGCTGCAGCTGGTGGTCGACCCCACTGTGGCCCCCTCTTTCCTCCTCATGTATCCTCTCTCTCTGTCCCTCCGCCCTCCCTCCTACAAGGACGCTTGTGATTGCATAGGGACCACCCAGATGAGCAGAATTCCCTCTCCACCCTTATAACTTCTGCAAAGTCCCTTTGCCACGTAAGTAGCATATTCACCAGCTCTGGGGATTCTGATGTGGACGCCCCTGGGAGGCTGTTATTCTGCCTACAGCAGGTGGAATACGAGGACCAGTTGACATGGGTAGTGGGACAGGGCGGCTAAAAGAGTTCACTGCTTGATTTCACAGAGGACACAGCAGGCATTCCCTAGTATGTGCAACCTAAGAAGAGGAGTAAAACAAACCCAATTTCTGGGTGGGTGGGTTCTAGCGAACTTCAAGAGGCAGCTGGGGAGAATAACTTAATTAAGCTTGCTCCTCATGGGAAAATGGCTGAGCATGAAAGTCAATGGAGGCAGGATGAGCCTCACTTACAGTGAGAGGGAGAGGAAAAGGACTTGGGGTCACCCACCTAAAACAGAGGGGTCCAAGCACCGGTGTTGTGGTCTAGCAGGTAAAGTCACTGCCTAAGATGCTGGCCATCCCATACGGGCGCCAGCTCATGTCCTGGCTGCTGCATTTCCAATTCAGCTCCTGGCTAATGTGCCTGGGAAAGCAGTAGGAGCTGACTCAAGGCGTTGGGCCCCTGCTATCCACATGGGAGACTCAGAAGTTCCTGACTCCTGGCTTCAGCCTTGCCCAGTGCTGGCCATTGAGGCCATCTGGAGAGTGAGCCAGCAAACAGAAGATCTCACCCTCTGTCTCTCTCTCTTTGTAACTCTTTCAAATAAATAAATAAATCTTTTTTTTTTTTTAAAGGGAGTCCAAGAGTGAGAATTAACCCACATTTTGCATTCTCAAAAGTTCCATCAGTCCCCTGGTTATGGTCTTTATTTTATTTATTTAAAAAAAAATTATTTATTTGAAAGCAGAGTGACAGATAGAAGCAGAGATCTCTTCCATCGGATGGTTCACTCTCTAAATGGCTGCAGTGTCCAGGGCTGGTCCAAGCTGACACCAGGAACCAGGAACTCCATCCTGGTCTCCTACATGGGTGGCAGGGGCTTAAATACTTGGATCACCTTCTGCTGCTTTCCCAAGCACATTGGCAGAGAGCTGGATCAGAAGCAGAGTAGCCAGGACTGAAACGGGTGCTCTGCTACGCGACGCCAGTTTTGCAAGCAGCAGCTTAGCCTGCGACACCACAGTGCTGGCCCTGGTTATGAGCCTTCCGTGTCTGCCCAGCAGCTCAGGCTTAGGATACCATTTAATCCAGGCCTCTGATCATCTCCTGACCTCGTGGGGACCCTCTCCCTTAAGCAACTACCATTCTGGGGCCCGTGATAGGCACGCTCTCACAGGCCACTGAGCCTTTACACACAGCAGCATTCTCCGCCTGAGATGTTCCCTCACCACCACCACTCTTCCTTGCCTGACTACGCTGGGCCTTTAGTCAGCAGCTTAGATGTCCCCCTGCGGCCAGAAATCCCCCTGCCTTCTTACCCCAGGCCCTGTCACAGGCCAGTTCATGCAGTAATGAGTTTGTCTGCAGTGGTCTATCTCCTCGCCCCCCTGTACTGGAGCAGATGCCTGAGACATGAGAACCATCCTACTCACCGCTGTGCTCCCAATGCTTAGCCTGGTGCCTGGCATGTCGGAAAGCCTTCCATGCATATTTCTTGACACTGGATGACCTCTATTAGTGCCTAAATCTGCAAAGAGCTCAATCTTTCACAAAGACCTTTTTCTTTTTTTTTTTTTTTTACATCTAATATCTCCTTTAATCCCGCTAATAACTCTCGGATGTGTAATTTTTTTTCTCCAGTTTACATGACTCAAAATGAATGCTCTTGCCCCCATCAAGCAAGCAGTGAATTGAAAGACAGGTCCAGGCTTGGAGGCCGGGT